AATATTTTGCCTCCTGGGAAGAGTAAAATTCTTTATGGGTAATGTTTTGTTTTAAAGTCCTTTGAGGGAAAAAGTGAAAACAGATCAAGTAGGGAGTAGGACTGTTTTCTTAGTGTGGCCTAGGTTTTAGTACTAAATTACATTACCTGCTGGATCGCTCACATACAGAACAATGAAAATGCTGTTTTCACGAAAAAAAATTTTTTTTGGTCAATTTAGTTCTAGTCTTCCTTTCACTTTGCCCATGTTCTAACATTGGTATTAGTTTCTTCCCAATGGTTCTTCAGCTCAAGTTCTTGGTTTGCCAACATCCTTCAGTTCACCGCTTTTTCTAAAGATTATGGATTGAGACTTTTTACAAGTGGATGAAAGTAGTTTCTCGTCCCATACAATAATGAGAGCAATTGACCCCTAACTGCATTTCCAGTTAGCGCTCCTCTCCTGCCCCCATCTCTGCCTCCTCTTCCTCCCCATGGGCAGCTCCCCTCACCCACCACTTCCTCATCCCCTGGCTGCTCTACCTGGGCTGCCGGGACAGTAGGAAAAGTCTTACCTAAATGGAACTGCTGGGCACTGGGCACTGGTCTCTTCTGCCCCGGTGGATGTCCAAGCCAGTGTTCCGTCCCTTTCACCTTCTGGGGACTTGTTGCTGTATCGGGGGAGTCATCTCCGCAGCCCCTACTTGACTGGTGTCTGCTGCTGCATCCCACCGACGCTGCAGGAGGGGATTCCATCCAACCAGCAGCGCAGTGAAGCCAAGTTCCTTTGAAGAAGGCTACGGGACCTCTTCGTCCTGGCCCACTGGGAACGCTTGCTTTCCCAGTCCTTTCCAATGCAGCGGCTTCCACTCCACTCAGCATGACCAGGTAGCCACCATCTCCTGACTGAGACAGCACAGATGACATTCCAGGCTAACCTGGGAGCAGGCCTCAGCGGCCACCCTCTTCTCTCTGCCACCAGGGGGCAGATGGGGAGAAATGCCTGTCTCCAAAGACGGGTCTTTCTTTGGCTCAAATTTGACTATTTGTAATACTAAGGAGCTAATAAACTCTCAAAAAATGACTTTCTGGACACCTCTTTTGCAAATCCTGGGAAAGACTTAAAAAACCCCAACCACCATATTTCTATACTGTTTAAAGTTAAGTAGAATCAGTACTTTCCACTCTAAAGTGAGTAGACTACAAAAACCAATTTATTTTAATGTAGCACACTTGAAAAAAACCCCCAAATTACTAAAAATTTCAGTAGCTGGCCACACGCAGGTGGGATGAGATGAAACTAATTTCCTCAAAAGGTTAAGAATGGAGGAACCTGAAGACAGGCAGGATTCACTGGCATGGCCTTGAATTCTCAGGCCCTGCCAAAGGTTCTGAGACTGTCCTGGTACTTCCCACTCAGCTCAGGGTTTCTGACACAGCCTTCCCAGCCCGGCCCTCCTCCATTCACATCTCTAGTTCACACTCCTTCCAGGTAACTGGAAATAAAGCTAGGATGATCTGCGGGCGTAAGGAGCAGGGCAGCAGTTTTCCAGGCTCTCTAGTTTGGCACGTTCATCAATTTCCTGACACTTAAACTCTGTGACTATTTCTCATATTTTCTCTACCAGTGTTACTTTTACCATTCTAGAAAGTCTTTGACAAAGTTTTTGGCCCAGTGTACTGTTTTCATTTTTCTCCTTTGTGAAACCTCTCATGCCCAGAACTGGATTTACCATAATTCTTGCATCATACCTGTTATTTGCAAGGATCTTTTCTTTGGTATTGTGAACCCACCAGCTCAGGCCTAAGCTGAAAACATTTCTTAACATCACCAGTAACCTATTTGTGTGCTCCTGCCCTGGCCTCTCCCTTACTTTATGGACCTTCTAAATTTATTTGCCTTTCACTTCCTTGGTAGAACAGTTTAATCACACATACACAAATGCATCTAAGTAATACATTTGTTCATTTAAAAATTCTATAGGCTCATGCCATGTAGCCGACAGGAGCTTTCTTCACTCAACCACTGTTTTAGTGTTCATCTTTGTTACCAAATGGTTATAGTTGATTCACTTTCACCACGGAAGATATTCTGTACTGGAAAAATAATATTTCTCATTTATTCTCCTTTTGATAAACATGTGAATTGTTACTTCCCCCTTCTAATCAGTGCAGCTCCCAGTATTCTTTCACAATTTCCTGAGATACAGTCCCAGGAAAGAACTGCTAGGTTGTTAGGACGTGACTGATCAACCTGGCGATGCCACATGGTTTTCTAAAATGATGTTCCAACTTAAATTCCAACCAGCAATGTGTAAAAGAATCTCAAAGCATTTTCCAACACTTGGCACGGACACACTTTCAAACCACACTAACCTAATGGGTGTAAAACTGTATCTCACTGCGGTCTTGGTTTGCATTTCCCGTTAAATCTCCCATTTTACTGACCAAATATTTCCTTTTATGAAAAGCCTGTTCAGAATCTGCTTATTTTCTAACTTTTTCCCCATACTGGGGATTGACTTGGCATATGCTGAGGATCAACTACATTGAGCCACATCCCCAGGCCATTTTTGGGACAGGTTCTCACCAAGTTACAAAGTTGTCCAGGTTGGGCTCAAACTTCGACCCTCCTGCCTCAGGCTTTCCAGAGTGCTGAAATTATAGGTGTGCACCACCACCCAGCTTCATGTCTGTTTTATTCACCTGCATCTTATGAACATTTGGAAATTTGCAAAAAGTCCTGGAGTTGATTTTTATGCATGGCTTAAGAAAAATAGAAGTGTCATTCATCCAAAAAGAAAATTTTCCCAAAGTCACTTTAACTTTCTTCATCTCAATGTGGTAAACATTCGAAATGACATATGCTTCCAAACTAAACCAGGTTCACTAATATGAAAAACTTGTCTTGGTAACAGTTAGCCTTAATGTCCTTTTGGGGGTAATGTGATCTGCTTAGACTCACAAAACTTGTTTGGTGAACTACCTTCTAGTTTTACCACCCACTTTTTTAGCTCAAAATGTAAAATTTGGCACAGCCTTATTTCCCTACCAGTGAACCCCTCTCCAGACTGCAGCTGTGTGGACACTGCATTGAGAATTCTGCCAGAAGTTAACACCTATTTCTGAGCACCAACGCCAAAAACAGATAACCTTAAAAAATGTGCTTGGGAATAGGTTCACAAGTTCTCAGGTGAGACTAAAGCATTAGGAGATGGAAACCACAGGATTCTGGAGGCAGAACATAGCTCATCTCTTCTTCCTGCACTCAGAGCCCACTAACTTTAGTATGCTTCTTAAATTTCTTTCATCTTGATGCCCTGGTATGTCATTACTTCCATCTGCAGCCCATTCACTCTGTCTTAACTGAATCATAATCTCTGAAAAGCCTTAAGACAAAAACAGTGGCTGACCATAGCCAACCACACCCAGCTGTTAGAAAATGTAAGACCTACTGAGTGATGGGGGCTTGTCATTAAGTCCTGCTACTGGGAATTAACTGAATACAGACATGTCTTTGATTATGATTAGGCAAGTGTGGGGTTTCAAAACAATATTAGGAACAGATCAACTTTGATCAGTATTTGGGCCTCTGCCATCACCTATGATATGTGTGCTCAAATATATTTACTATTAGTTTCCACATGCCAAGGATACATGCACTCATTCAGTACAATGGCTGGACATTTTACAAACTAGGTCAGGGCAACAGTAACACAGGGCAGGTGCACATGATATTCCAGAGCTGGCCTATCAAGAGTTTAGCTGTTCTAGTAACTTCCAGGCTTTCAAACACAGAGATTTCAACTGTTGTCAAATGTATAATCAGACTTGGACTTAACACAGGCAGTATTTTTAAAGTTTTCAGGGTTAAGCGGATGCACTACTGTGATGGGTTCTTGTACTTACAAGGCCTGTGGCAAGACCTGTTAAAAACCAATACCCAAAACTAACCTAGACCCAAAAAATTTGAGATCTCTCACATTCTCAGGGAACTAAAATTAACCAATGAGCTTTTGACGATTTTGTCACAAAAAGCACTTTATTAAACTTCATACTGAGGAAAAATATTCAAACTCTAGCCATTTCCAAGTGCCCAGTCTCAGCCATCACCTTTAAGATTGTATCTCAAAAACACTGTTGTTAATTTCCTGTACTTCTGGATCTTCCCTTACAGGAATGTATGACAACTCAAATTAAGTGTTTTCACAATGAAAGTTATATGCTGCCACTCTGATGTCTCCAAAATCTTGGATCTGCACGGAGACCTTACACATGTTTAGACATCACCATTGAGTTTCCAATGTTTCACCCCAGTCGAGATCTAAGAACAAGTCAGACTGCAGTTTCCAAGTCTGCCTTCACAAAGGCCATGGAGGAAGTGGTGACTACTTTGTAAGAAAACAGGAAAACAGATGGAACCCTGTAATTAAGTCACTGGACATACTCTTAATTCTTTTATACCCCACTTCCCACGATCTTTCCAGGTTGAAGGAAATCAGAGCCACAGGAAACCTGCTCCATACTCCAAAGGGCATCTCAAATGGTCTCTATTTTTAAAAAATAATTCCAACAACTTCACATACATAAAACACACTGCTGGAGTCTCCGATCTACTGACACTATTTTATCAGATTGGTAACAGACATAAAACCTTGCTTTGGGAAATTTTTCATGTTGGAAATTACCTTTTAGCTACCAGACATTCCTACGTAGAAAACACTAAGTAGCTAATTAAACTAATTATGTTTAAAACTAAATATTTTAACACTATTTCAAGAACCAAACTAGTTTAGTAGATGCCTAACGAATATAAACAACTAACAGGCAAACATGACCAGTTTCAGATTTTATTTATGATTTACTCAGATGAGAACCCATCTGTAACTATAAAAGCAATTTCACCTCCATGGCCTGGGATCTGGAGAAATCAATAGGATAAAGTATTAGAGCTATGAAGCAAGATTCACTGTTACCCCAAATATATGAGATCTTTCCTCCTGGAAATAAAGACCCCAAGACCTCCATTGCACTTTTATTTGAATGCCAATATTTGGGACAATTGTCCAAAAGGGCCGGTATTTCCCCATTTAATTTTGAGATAGTAAAAGAAACAACAAAACAGTGTTTGGGTTTTGTTACCCACCCTTATCATCAAGACTCACTGCCTCCCATCATCAATATTTATTGAGCATTTACAGTGTACTAGGCACAATAGAACATACAGAAAACATTGTCCCTGCTCTTGAGGAGCTTACATTCTAAAAGGAAAAAAAAATACACCTCTTTTAAAATGGCATTTTTGTTTGGTGTTTTCTGTAAAGTACTGAGGAAATATTCTGTAGGGTGAGCTTTGGGTATAACTTAGCCCCATCATTATTTAGAGAAGAGAGAAAGAGAAAGGATTTTAAAAGCAGACAATGACAGACTATCAGGATAGGGGAGGGTTTACAGGGAGTTAAACACAATCTCATCAACTAAGCAGAGATGTGCTGAAGTGAAGAGGATGGGGGCAGTAGTCTGTGGGATGCAAGCAAAGGAAGCAGGTATCTTAGACATCGAGTGGAGCCAGAAAGATCATGCGGCCTTTTCCCAAGCACATGGCCACCAAAGAGGAACGGTTGGTGACAAGACAGAAGGCTAAAAAAGGTAATCTTGTGCACCTGACAAAGAGAATAAAGGATTAAAATTGAAGGCAAGCTATAAAGAGTATCAAGAAATTCTTAAAAACCAAAAGTGATCTGGAAGCACAAGACGTACAGTTAATGCTACCCAATATCATGATGGGCCAAGAACATTGTGGCTTCCTAAGTTAGAAAATGCCATATACCAAAATTTTAAACGGAACACATTAATTTTTTTCCAATCTCCCCCTCCATCATAAAATAAAATTTTTTTCATTTCAATTATTTTTTTAGGGGGGAGAGGGGAGACATGGGACATGGTTGAGAATGGTAGTTATATTACTAGTATTTTTGTTACGATAAAGTTTGCCTTTAGACTTGGAAAAAGCCCATTAGCTGCCAAGAGGGAAGAAGAAATAAATTTCCAAGAACGTACAATTTCCTTCAGAGAAGTTTCAAAACCAAAAGGCTAATTTACATGAAAAGCTGTAGAGAAAGTAGTTGAAAAGTCCATTCATAAAACTTTTATTCCACTTACATGAACTTAATACATATGTTCTTAACAATTATGCTCAGATTGTTCATGAAAATTTCTTAAAGACATTAAACAAAGCTAGCCATCATCTCAAGTTATTTCCCTGTTAACTATTTTTACAGCACATGCATGTTAGGCAAGTATCAAAAAAAAAAAGAAAAAAAAATCACCAAAGCAAAAAACCTAAAAAAGTTAAATACATGGGTTTTTTGTTTGTTTACTGCTACACTTGATATACATGAAGTAATGAATACCAAGCAATTCATTTTTACTGCATCTTTACTTTTACATTTGTTCTTAGGTTGCCTAAAACATTTAAATACAAATAAAATGTGTAGCAAAAATAATGAAAGCAAACAGCAGGTAACTTTACAAATAATGGAATGTGAACCGTTTCTGCCCTTATCCAGAGTAAATGGGTAGCAACTTTGTCTGAAGAACACCCCGCAGCTGCGGTCACAGGAGCGTGCTGAGACTGCTTACTCCCCGGAAACACGGGGCTCCACATGAGACCCACGGGTATGTGTTTCTACCACAGCCTCAGAGGTGCTCCAAACCTTAAAGTACCCACAATAACTACACCTGTGTCTGGAACCAATGATCCCTTTTATTCCCCACCAGGACAGACCAATATGTAGGCAGTTTTCTTTGCTTAGACATGGAAGCAGTTTCAACACTGGCCCCTGTGAAGCCACAATGTACCAAAAGTACAATGCCAAACATTTGTAACTTGTATAAAAATTCCACTTCCCCATATTGGCCATCTCAAGATGAAAACAGATAACTCCCTAAATATTAACTGGCTCTACTCCCCTAATATTAAACATAAAACCACATGGGAAATATAGAAATTCAAATAGAAGTAACATAAACCTGTCATAAACCGTAAACAAAAAAACTATTTGTGGGACAGCATGGATGACAAATGGTCTACTGTGTAAATTTTAGAATGAGGCAGACAAAAGTTGGAAGGCCAGTTAATTTTCCCCTCCTTCGCCTGCTTCAGCTTCATCTCCCTGGGTATCCGATGTCCACAACTAGTAAAAGAAGAAAAGGTTTTCAGCATGTTTCAGTTTGAAAAAACAAAACAAAACAAAACAAAACAACAACAACAATGCCAACAAACTTCTATATGTATGCCAAGGTCTCAGGATATAACCACGTGTTTTAACTAGAAAAACATTCTTAGAAATACAGCACTACTGAAAATACCTTAATACATTTATTTTTTCCCTAATCAGCTTGTAAGCATGGTGAATATATGATACAGTTGTCAGATAAAGGAAACATTCAATTACTCATATATAGGAAGGACGTGAAGGCAAACTAGAAAAAACATGGAAGCATTAAAAAAACACCAACATATCAATAACTACTAGAAAATCAGATGCTCAGAGAAGCCTGGATATGAGATGGATATACCATTTGAGTGCAATTCAAGCAGAACTGTCTAATTCTGCCCTTACAAGAACTACTAAGGCTGATGTTTCTTTCCTTGGAAAGCTTACACCGATTTCTGTGTAAAACAAAATCCTTACTGCATGAAAGTCAGCATCTGTCTTCTGAGCTAAAATGAAAATTCAGCTTTTCTGACATCTCAAACCTAGATAAACATATCTTTGTCTATTTGGACAAAATAAATACTCAACAGAATAGCCAGAACAAGGGGTGAGGATACAGCTCAGTGGCTCCACCACCTGCCTCACAAGTACAAAGACCCAAGTTCGATCCCTGGTACCAAAACAAAACAAAACAAACAACTTTTTGGCTGTTGGTAACTTCACAAGTAAGCCAGGGGTATTTAGAATAGCCAGAACAAAATATTCTGAGATAAAAATGAAGTTGTTTCACAGTGTGATAGGATTATGGATTGTTACTTTTTAATCAATGTTGCAATATTTCAACAGGTTAAAAAATAACTTCAAAAACCTGCTTCACATTCTTAACCATTCTAATTTTAAGATTTTATTAAAGGACTGATTCAAGATGATCTTAACATTTAGATGACTTACCACAAAAAGGAGGGACTTCTACCTAATTGTATTTTTCTACTTCTCACATAATGTGTATTACTTCCACTTAATTAACAAAATGAAACTGTCTCTCATGTCTCTTTCTAGTTTTAACCTCCAAGGACTTTTGAAGTTTTACGTAAACACTAAAAACTTCATGCAAGATAGTTCTTTCTCAGGTAATGTGTTGATTATCTAAGTTAACCAGGTTTAGACTTGGTATATACTAGGCTAGGTTTTGGTCAAGTTTCTTTACTTGACAAATGATCAAATTAATCTAAGATGATTACAGCTAATACTAAGGTCCAGCGAAGACATACAGTAAAAAGATTCAGAATGGGAATCTTTGGTTTTCTCACTAAAGTCTTCATGCTATACTGACATCAAAATTCAGCTCATGCAGGTTATTACATTAGGCTCTCTCCATAGTGGAGAGAATACAGTAACTAAATCTGAAGTTCCATCCATCTTTTAAAATGTTATCTCACCACTTCAAAACAGAAAAGTAGTATTCTTAAAATTATTTAACAAATTGAGGCACTGCTTTCATTTGACACAAAATTAATTCATTTGGGTAAGGGATGTAGCTCAGAGCTCTTGACTAGTAAGTATGCTCAAGGCCCTGGGTTCAATGAACCCTATAGAATGATAGTCACCAAAACAAACAGCCCAAGAGCTCACTAGATTACAATGTCTCATTTCTACCTACCTGACACAGCAGGTGCTTGATAGTTTTTTCACCTAAGCCTTAAAACTTACTTAAAAAAGAAACCACTAAATTTGATTTAGATTCAAATTTTTATTAAGAAGCATTAAGGAATTAGTTTAATTTTGCCATTCTTTTAAAAATCTGGAGTATATATCAAGGACATTCATGACTTCTCAAAAATAAGACTGCACAAGCTGGAGACCTGGCTCAGCAGCACTGTGCCAGCCCCGCAAACACAAGGTCCTGAGTTCAATCTCTGGCTCAAAAAAGCAAACAACAACAACAACAACAACAAAAAGACTACACATAATTGTTTCTGCTTGGATTCTGTAGAGTATCGGAAAAATTTAAAATTTTCAGACATTAACTATATCTACACAAATGTAGAGGCAACTCAATGTACAAGCCCTCCATTTTTGAAGGAATTTAAGTACAGCCTCAGTTTTCTTTTGGCACTAAATTGTTCTGTGACTAAAACACGGTATGAAAAATAAATGGCTTTTTGTCACTGAAAATCCAAAATGATGGATCGTAAAATTATTTTGAAAATTCAAAATTTCAAAATAAATCTGTAACTAATGAAAGCATTTAGTGCTCAAGTCACGCTTTCTATATTTTCCTCCATGTAGTTTTAATAGATGGTATATAATTTTTAGTAGATGGTATAAAATTTATCGAAGTCCAGAAATATTCCCTGTAGCAAAAACATTACAATGCTTTCAGCCACATTAATGATGCTAGTAAGTACTTACTGTCAAGTTGTCTCTCAGTAATTGCATTATTAGCGTGCTGTCCTTGTATGACTCTTCACTTAATGTATCAAGTTCAGCAATGGCTTCATCAAAAGCCTGTGATTTAAAAAAATATTTATTTTAGTGTTCAATTAATAAGATCGCTAAAATTTCCATGTAGCAAGTGAGATACATACTGTCTTTGCCAGAGAACAGGCTTTCTCTGGAGAGTTCAGAATCTCGTAATAGAAGACGGAGAAGTTAAGGGCCAGACCCAATCTGATAGGATGTGTTGGTTGCATTTCCTTTTTGCTGATTTCAAAAGCTTCTTGGTATGCTTGTTGTGACTGGTCCACAATCCCTGAATAAGAAAACACACCCCAATACAATGAGTTAGTCTGCACTTCACCTTTATTCCTGAAACCAAACCTTTTGTTTAATACCCTATGTACCTGCCCTCTGAAATATAAGCCACAACATCCTCAACTAAAGAAAGAAAGAAAAAAAGTATCTCCTGGATCACCACGGTAGCCACTGGTTAATACCTAGACAAAAAGAACTTTGTAATCCTATTATTGTTACGTTTTTAATAAGTAGTTTACACTGCTACTCAGTTATGCTATGTCCAGTTTCTTAAAATTGTGAGGAAACATACAAAACTTGTCAGAAAGAAGACATTTTAGAAAACCAGTATTAGGCAGTAGACATACATAACCTCATGCAGGACCCACAAAAAGAGCACCACTACTTGTCATTCAGTACTCTAAGCAGTTAAAAAAACAAAACAAAACAAAAAGACTATTTCCATACAACAATATTTTATAAGGTTCAGCCAACAGGGTTAAAACAAGCAACGTACCTTTCTTGTCATCACCAGCAGCAACCTCAGCCAAGTAACGGTAGTAGTCTCCTTTCATTTTCAAATAAAAGACTTTGCTCTCTGCTTGTGAAGCATTGGGGATTAAGAATTTTTCCAAAAGAGACTTAGGAAGAAAAGAAATAGATATAATAAGCATAAAACATTTAAAAAAGTAAACACATTTCTTAAACACATACTATAGACTATGTTCTAAAGCTTTTAAACTCAGTCACTGCCAATAACATAATTGAAGATGCAATACTCATGAACTTGTGACTTAAAAAGTTAGCAGAATGCTGGGCCTGGCATGGTGGTGCACTCCTGTAATCCCAACACTCAGGAGGCTCAGGGAGAAGGGAGGCCGAGGGAGGAAGCTTGCTGCAGGTTCAAGGCCAACCCGGATTACACAATAAGTTTAAGGCTAGCCTGAACTACACAGTGAAACCCGTGCCTCAAAAAACCAGTTAGCAAAATGCTTTTGGCAGCAATTCTTAAAATTTGAAATTAGTATTCAGTTTGTTATTTAAGGATGATACAAATGAATATAAGTCCCCACAGTTTACTCACATGCTGGTTTCAGAATGTTAAACAAGATAGTTCATATTTAATAAGGAACATTTATCAATGAATGGGCAAACCCTCCATTTAAAAGTACTGTAAAAAGAACACACAAGATGAAACTTCTGGGACTCTAGAGGAATAAGTGAAGCAAAAACCAATACAATCAACCCATGCCAGAGGAATCTGAACAAAATGAACTTCACTTTCAAGAACACAGCTAGAACAATTCATCAATAGGTAAAATACTTCAAAACAAAAGCTTAATTTTTCAAGACAATGAAAGGATTATGAAATCTATAGATGTGAAGAGCAGTCCTCTAATTTCATCAAAATGATTTTTACCTAGTAAGATATGCTTGCAAATCAAACAGGTAAAACTAAAATGTCATGCTATAGTTTTGTTTAAAGCTATTAAGAATTTAAGCTAATCTGCCTTCTAATATACTAGAAATTACCTTCTACAACTGATAAGGCATACAGTCATATTGGGGAGAGACAGCTCAATAAACTGTTTTCTTTTCAGTTAAAGAGAAGAAAAACAGCAGCAGCAAAATTAAACAACCATATAAAAAAATCCAGTATTACTATAGCTAGCATATTCTGGGAGTCAAGAATAAAGTCTATTTTCAACTGGACTGAGCTTCAGATAATTCTTACAAGGAAAAAAAATATCTAATTCCTGGTTTGTAATTTAGGAAGCAGTTACTCTCATTAGCTTCTATTATTTATTATGGCCATAAGAATATATAATAATTAAGAATAAAACACTTAAAATGTTAAATTTTAAAGCTACACCAGAAAGCCGGGCGTGGTGGCGCATGCCTGTAGTCCCAGCATTCAGGAGGCTGAAGCAGGAGAATCGCTCTGAGTGTGAGACCAGCCTGGGCTACATACTGAGTTCCAGGTCAGTCTCAACTATACAGTGAGAACCTGTCTCAAAAAACCAAAAAA